GATTTGAGGCCACCTCAGGCAAAAAGTTAGCAAGACTCCAACTTGACCAATAAGCTGAGCATGGTGGAGTGCTGCTGTGGTGCTAGGATCCTGTTCTTAGGCTGGTTCTGAGCAAAAATGGAAGACCCTACCTGAAAAATAATTAAATAAAAAAAAAAAAAAAGACTTGGCATGGCTCCAGTGGTAGAACACCTGCCCAGCAAGCACAAGACCCTGAGTTCAAACCCCAGAACTGCCAAAAAATTTTTGAAAAATAAAAAAGAGTAGGTTAGACAATGTCTTACATATTGTATAAACAAAGTAGAACAATTCATAAACATAGGTAAATACCTTTTTTAGGAGCATTTATTATTTGGGGAGTGAATTATTATTTTTACTATCAGTTACAGTCCCTGATAATAGTCACCAACTAGTTATTGAGTACCTCCCATTAGTTTAAAAGCCTTTAGTGGCTTTTCACACCTCTTAAATCCAGTATTCTTAAATTCTTTACCCTCAGTTGTAGAGCCATAGGTGATCTGGTCTCTCCTCATCCTCTAGAGCCTCCTCTCCTTTTTCTTTACCTACTACACTTAACGTACAGATACCTTTTCAAATCCTCAAATGTGGTAAGCTTTCTCCACTTGGGTTTTTGTACTACGTGTTCCTATGTCTAGAATAGTGTTTCTCAGCCATCACATACCTAATTTTTTTTCCATTTATAAGAAAGAAGCATCCCAATGAATGTTTACCCCAATGACTCATAATCTAAGCCACCACCAGTGACTTATTCACTTAATTCTGTTTTTTTATTTTTTTATTCATATGTGCATACAATGTTTGGGTCATTTCTCCCCCTTCTCCCCCTCCCTTCCCTCTCCCCCCCACCCTCTTCCTCTCCCCCCTACCCCCTCGCTACCCGGCAGAAACTATTTTGCCCTTATCTCTAATTTTGTTGAAGAGAGAGTATAAGCAATAATAGGAAGGAACAAGGGTTTTTCCTGGTTGAGATAAGGATAGCTATACAGGGAGTTGATCGCATTGATTTCCTGTGCCTGTGTGTTACCTTCTAGGTTAATTCTACTTGATCTAACCTTTTCTCTAGTTCCTGGTCCCCTTCTCCTATTGGCCTCAGTTGCTTTAAAGTATCTGCTTTAGTTTCTCTGCGTTGAGGGAAACAAATGCTGTCTGATTTTTTAGGTGTCTTACCTATCCTCATACCTCCCTTGTGTGCTCTCCCTTTTATCATGTGCTCAAAGTCCAATCCCATTGTTGTGTTTGCCCTTGATCTAATGTCCACATATGAGGGAGAACATACGATTTTTGGTCTTTTGGGCCAGGCTAACCTCAATCAGAATGATGTTCTCCAATTCCATCCTTTTACCAGCGAATGATAACATTTCATTCTTCTTCATGGCTGCATAAAATTCCATTGTGTATAAATGCCACGTTTTCTTAATCCATTCGTCAGTAGTGGGGCATCTTGGCGTTTCCATAACTTGGCTATTGTGAATAGTGCCGCAATAAACATGGGTGTGCAGGTGCCTCTGGAGTAACCTGTGTCACATTCTTTTGGGTATATCCTCAAGAGTGGTATTGCTGGATCATATGGTAGATCAATGTTTAGCTTTTTAAGTAGCCTCCAAATTTTTTTCCAGAGTGGTTGTACTAGTTTACATTCCCACCAACAGTGTAAGAGAATTCCTTTTTGCCCGCATCCTCACCAACACCTGTTATTAGTGGTGTTGCTAATGATGGCTCTTCTAACAGGGGTGAGGTGGAATCTTAGTGTGGTTTTAATTTGCATTTCCTTTATTGCTAGAGATGGTGAGCATTTTTTCATGTGTTTTTTGGCCATTTGAATTTCTTCTTTTGAGAAATTTCTGTTTAGTTTACTTGCCCATTTCTTTATTGGTTCATTAGTTTTGGGAGAATTTAGTTTTTTAAGTTCCCTATATATTCTGGTTATCAGTCCTTTGTCTGATGTGTAGCTGGCAAATATTTTCTCCCACTCTGTGGGTGTTCTCTTCAGTTTAGAGACCATTTCTTTTGTTGAGCAGAAGTTTTTTAGTTTTATGAAGTCCCATTTATCTATGCTATGATGCTGGGGTTCCATTGAGAAAGTTCTTACCTATACCTACTAATTCCAGAGTATTTCCTACTCTTTCCTACATCAACTTTAGAGTTTGGGGTCTGATATTAAGATCTTTGATCCATTTTGAGTTAATATTGGCATAGGGTGATATACATGGATCTAGATTCAGTTTTTTGCAGACTGCTAACCAGTTTTCCCAGCAGTTTTTGTTGAAGAGGCTGTCTTTTCTTCATCGTATATTTTTAGTGCCTTTGTCAAAGACAAGTTGGTTATTGTTGTGTGGCTTCATATCTTGGTCCTCTATTCTGTTCCACTGGTCTTCATGTCTGTTTTTGTGCCAGTACCATGCTGTTTTTATTGTTAATGCTTTGCAATGTAGTTTGAAGTCAGGTATCGTGATACCTCCAGCATTGTTCTTTTGTTAATTCAGTTTTGATTGTATCCCTATGTTATATTTTGTGTATACAAGGCATGTATGTGTGTATGAGAAAGGGGATGTGTGCACCCATGTGTGTGAGTGTGCTATTGGTTTTTATTTGTATGACTTCCAACACTGGAGATGCCAGTAATGCTTTTTGTCTTATTCACTTCTCTATTACATAACTGTAGAATTGTGTCTGGCATGTATTAGGTACTCACTAATTATTTTTTAATAAATTAATGAAATAATGCATGCATACAATCATGCCATATGCCCAGCACTCTTGCAGACATCACTATGGAGCCTCCTTGGACTTTTATTCTGCTCTACTTGTCCCCTTCCCCTCTACCCACAGCCTAGTTTGTTCCTCAGCATCTTTATACTTACATTAAACCCATTATAATCTGGCTTGTGCCTCAACCCCTCAAATGAAACTGCTTTCAGTTACCAACAATTTCTTGATTGCTAAGTTTAATGGATTTCCTAGTCTTTTCATAGTCTTTATTTAATCTAACAGTAGCTCTTAAGAACTTCCTCAAAATAGCACATCCATAACATCATCTCTTGGTTTCAAAGCATGTATTTTTATGGCTGCAATTTTATGTCATATCAATGACATAAAATTTCAGATGACAAATTTTTTTTTTTTTTGGTACTGGGGTTTGAGATCGGGAATTCACACTTGCTAGGTAAGTAGGCGCTCTGCCGAGAACATTGAGAAAAAGATTTCTGCTTAATAATTTCATGTCTTCCTGCTGCTCTGCGACCTGAAGAAAATTGCAGAGTGACACATAGCTTATGTGCATACCTGTTAAAGCTCTGTTTGATGAGTTTTAGCTAGTCCTGATTTATGAAGCACATTGTAATTGGAGGATACATGACATTTGTTATTTGTGTTTTTTATTATATCCCGATTAATAGCTGATGTTGTAAATGCCATTTTATGTAGCATTCATGGTCATTTTTAGTAGAAAAGATTGCTCAGTTTGTCATAATCTTGTCAACTTGACTGAATTAAGAACTGCCTAGGAGATTAGTAGAGCACACCTTTGGACATGTCTATGAGGTTGTCTCCATAGATGATTAGATCATGAGGATCTGACCTAATAAATGTTTTAAATCTATTGATGGATTCAAAATCTGAATAGACTACTCGGATATTGTGGAAGGTGGGGCGTGATTGGTAGAGGCAGATCATTGGGGGCAAGTCCTTCAGGACTATATCTTGCTCTGACCCTTTCCTGTTACTGCTGCTTTCTGCTTCTTGCCTATCTGATGTAAGGTGCTCCACCATGTCCTTTCTATCATAATGGACTAAAACCTCTGAAACTGAGCAAAATAAATCTTTCCTTCCTTAAGTTTTAGCAGAAACAACTGTTTAGTTGCTATTTGGTCACAGTAACAAGAAAAATAACACATCTGGTTTTCTGTTTTAGGAACTAAGAGCTGAAAGTAAGTTGTTTGAACATGTTTATTAGCTATTCATTGTTTTCCTGTGTCAAGAAAACTCCCACAAACCACCTGTTCACAATCTTAAATAAAAGAGTTGACAGACTAGCACTCTGTTAGAGGATCCCAATAAAGAACATAAGAAATAAATTTACCCACGTTCATGTCCATCCTTACCTCTCTTCTTCCATCTCCAAAAAGGGAGGAAGCGACAATTAAGATTTTCTCCTCTTGATTAATGCCACCACCTTTAAGAGTCTTATTCTGTCCTCCTGTCTCTTCTCTGTTTTCAGCTTCACCATCTCTACGAGCTTTCTTACATGTTCAGGGGTCTCCCAGTTGAAAAGCAAACTCCAACAAATTCCCCTAAATACTGCTCCATCTTACTCCTCTTATTATTATTCATGTTTCTCAAAACAATATGGAACTACTCTCCCCCTTCAATATGTAGTCAGTGTTTTAACATTTCTTATTTCACAATAAGAAAAGTGCATGCAATACATGTGTACAACTTAATACATTATCGCAGCTGCTTTGAAGCCCAGTGAGCTGTCCTCTCTCCAGAAGAACTACTACCCTGGCTTTTGCTCTTCTCTGTAATTTTTTTGCCTTTGTGTACATCCCTTCATTCCACCCTACTGCCTTTTATATTCTTTCTACCTTCCCACTAGTTCCAAATTCTTGTAATAGGTTTACCTTTACTGTTGCTCTTGTAGTGGATATTTCTTAGTCCTCATGTTACTAGGCTTCTCTGCCATAGTTGACACTGTAAATCAGTTTGTCCTTGAAGCTACTCTCAAAGGCCTGTAACTGTGCTCTACTGTGTCTCTACATCCTTGAGCCTCTCTTCTCTGTCCCTTTCAAGAGCTGCTTTGTCTGCCCCTTAAGTGATGCTGCCTCCAGGGCTCTATTTTCACCACACTATCACTCCACATTAAACTCCATATGTGAGCACCATTTATAAGGATTCTCTTACCTAAAAAGCAATTTTGGAAAGGACAGGGTTTCAACTTTCTGCTAAAATTTATTAAAACCTCACAAATATTTATGTTTCAGACCAAATCTGGACCACCCAAAAAGCCGAAGACCCCTTCTGGACAATCAGCGTTAATGTATTGCTACAACTGTGCACAAAAAGGCCATTATGGACACGTAAGTTTGAGTGGCATCTGGGCATAAAGCATTCTGTTGTCAGGGAGTGGCTGCTGAAAAATGAATCAAAAGGAATATAACTCTGAACACTTCCTTGTTTACAAACTAACATTCAGAGGCAAGACTTAAATGTATTTTCAACAGATTTACTTCTTCCATCCCTGGCAGAGTAACTAACAGATCATATTTTACTAATTGCTTTAAAAGTACAGGAAAACAAATGCAGCTCATAAAGTCAGTCAAATAAATAATAGTCATCAAGAGCATGGCCACCTTCTCGTGAGCTCTTAGTGTCACATGATCGTCCACACCATGTTTCTAGGTTTTCTCTTCTCCAATTTCCCTGGCACCATATTCAGTTTAGTCTTCGTCACTGACATGCAGTCCCTAACACTCATGGTGGAAACACATCGTTGGCTGCCCACCCACCCTGCAAGTGCCACACTCCCTATTCCCAGGTCCAACTAAGGGGACTAAGCTATATATTCTAGATCCTGAATTACCAGAGCAGAAGAAACTGCTTGCTGCCAGGTGAACGTGTGAGCCCTAGCCAGCCACTACATTTAAGAATAAAGCTCCAGCAGCTCATGTGCTAGGAACAGACTCAAGCCCACACATACTGTGAATCTTGAGGCAGAGGAGAACAGGCAATGTGGCACAGAACGAGAAAGTCCTTATGGAGAGATGCATTTACGTTCTCCAGGGAGGCTTCTAACAGCCTAGAAATCAGCAGAAACTAACATCAAATCTGATCCAGTGCTGGAGGCAGGAAACATACAGAGGCTTAGGGAGCCTCAATGTGGATAGAGGGATGAGTTTTTAGAAAGGGCAAGTACTGCAGGCCACCTCATGAGTTCTGTGACACTTTAGTAATATAGACCTTGGGAGTGCTATAAATGTGGGGAGAGACAGAAAGATCAGGAGAAAAAAAACTGCAAGACAGTCTTCTAGCAGATCAAGTTTATGTTCCATATCCAGCTAGCTGGAACTATGGGGGTGAGGGGTAAAATATGAAAGCCAAGAGGAGACTCTGATCCTCAGTTCTAATTTTTTTGTTGTTGTTGTTCTTTTTTTTTTTAAGACAGGGTCTCGCTAAGTAGCCCAGGCTGGCCTGGAACTCGCGATCCTCCTGCCTCAACCTCCCAAGTGCTGGGATTACAGGCGTGTGCCACCACGCCCAGCCCTCAGTTCTTATTTTTGCTCCGCTACTGACTTAACCAGGTGATTTGAACTACTCACTTTTTTTCTTTGGTCCTCAGTCTTTATCTCCAAAGCAAAGAAGTTGTACAGCACTGACATTTGGATGCTGTTTCCAATGTGGTCAGACCCATCGTATGGTGATACAGATGGAGAGATCCTACAGGATACTTAACTTCGCTTCTTTAGAATTCACATTGAAACCTAACTAGAGAAGATTTGTCTTACAAAATTGTTATCTCTAGACCTTTACTGCTCTGTATGTTTATTCTTGTTGCCAACACTCAGATGGTTCATAGTCACACACTCACATAAGTGGTGCACTGCCACACAAACGCACACATGTACAGTTTATGCTTGCTTACATCTTTAAAGCAGAATAGTACAATTTTAATATTTATATTTGTTCAATTAAAGGAAAACAATTATATTGAGATGCTTACTAGACACTCCTGTTAGTATGGGTAGAAACTACATTAAGCATTTAAAATCTATCCCTGAAATCTAGGTTAGAGAAGTTTTCATTTCCAATAAAGCAAATTTGACAGCATTATCACCACCATTGAGGAAGAACTCTAGATTATCCAGCACTAATGAAGATCAGTGGTGTGGCTGGTCCAGGACAGTAGATAAATTATACAGCCATCTATCAATTGTCTGTGCTAATGGATAAGATAATCCATTAGCTAATGAATAATCAAAATACAATTTACATGTAGTTTTGCAAAACATTTGTAGTACGTATGTGTACGTTATGTGTAGTCACATCAGTCTTGACCATACAGGATCAAAATAATCCAAGGTGGTAAAGATGTCTCAGGACCCCTCCCTTTCAGTTTCAGAAATTCAGCCCAACAGATGTTGTTTAATAGATTCTTCATGTGAAAGGTATGCTACTGCCCTTCTGTAATTCCACTCACTCTCAAGCTAGAGAGGCAAGGACAACACTAGTCACTGTACAAAGAGACTGCTTCAGAAGGCTATGAAAGGGTGAGTGGGAGCTGGGACTCTTACAGGGTTTTGTTGACTTGGGTATTGGCTAAGTATACCTTTGTGTAATCATAATTTGCTGCTCTTATTTTAGGGCTAGAATTTTTACTAAAGATAAAATTGCTTTGTACCACATCATTACAGTACTAGATAGAATTTTCTGAATATGACTGTGTATGACTGTAGCATTGAGTTTTGTGCCTTCATGTGTTTTATGTTATTAATTAGCAGGGTTTTGTTTCAGTTATGATTAGAACCTTAGACCCAAGTCTTTTATGGTATCCTTTCTCTTGGAAATGGAAACTTGGAGCCACCATAGATGGTGGTTTATGCAAACATCTCTTTGTGACATCATGTAAGTTTGTCTGATACCTTACAAGATCCCAGAATGCCTAAAACAGTCCAGAAAGGCACTACAGAATAAATCCGAAGATACAGAAGGAAGGAAATAATAAAGATTTTTTTAATTATGAAATAGAAAACGAAATAGTATTGACAAAACTAAAATCTGGTTCTTTGAAAGCTAGCTTGAAGATAAAAGCAGAGGTCAGACACGGTGGAGTGTAAGGATTTGATGTGAGTGACTAACATGTTTCTGTTACTTTCCTAAGTGTGTATCTGGAACGACTCATGTTTTCTTCTTTCTTTTCTTTCTCTCTTTTTTTTTTAATACCGGGGATTGAACTTGGCATCTTGTGCTTGGTGCTTGCTAAGACAAGCGCTCTACCACTTGAGCCACACTCCCAGTCCTCTTGCTTTTAGTTTGTTTTTCAGATAAAGTCTCGTCCTAACTTTGCCCAGGCTGGCCTCGAACCACGATCCTTCTACCTCCACCTCCTGAGTAGCTGGAACCACAGGCACACGCCACCACGCCTGGCTTGTTTTTGAGATAGGGTATTGCTAACTTTGTCCTGGCTGGCCTTGTACTGTGATTCTCCTGTCTCCTCCTGAGTAGCTGGGATTACAGGCGTGCGCCACCACGCCCCACCCTGATTCTCTTAACAGCAAATTGAGTACATAAACTGTATGGCTACCACCTTGGTCAGATGTATTAGAAATACAAGACTAATACTTGATGTCAAAGGTACTTAGCCAAGAAATGTTGAACATTTCTAAATAAATTCTAGACCAAGATGCCAGAAGACAGAAATGGGTAATTTCCAAAGGGGAGCCTCTTTCAAAAAAAAAAATGTTTCAGACAGTGCTGTTGAATAGATACATGTCACATATTATGATAAGCAAAAGCCTACTATATGCAGAATGGTTCAGGCCAAAGAATGTAGATTTGGGAAATATCAGCCATGGGATCACCAGGGTCATGAGAGTGAGGGAACTGTCCTGGAGATAGGGGTGAAAGGAGTGATCTCAGCTTGGGTGGGGGAACAAGGAGAAAAGATCATTCCCTTTGCAGTGTCTCAAAATTACCTGGGAACCTTTTGAAAGTAGACATACCCACTGTAACCCCACCATAAGAATCACTACTCTATAAGTAGTGAATGTTGAGTTAAAATAAGCTTACAAACTACTTGTGTCTAGATAAAAGAGCTAAGAATTTACACCCACATTTTGGGGATGGGCAGAGAAACAGGAAAAGCACTTGATGGAAGGCAATTGGAAGAGACAGATAAGGAAAGGACAAATAAGCCTTTTTAGCCTTATTAGCATAAGGCTGAATAAAATAAACCCTCTAACAAGAGGACAAGGTAAGTGCAGTTGGCACCCATAACCCAGTGCTCATAACTGGAACTGAGGGGAGGGGTTTGGCAGGGAAAGTTCAAAAGAGATAAGTGTTTCATAAGTAAAGAAGGAAAGAAAACTCAAGCTTAAAGAATAACATAAAAACCCAATAGGGTTATTTGGCTGGGTGACCCCTCCCAGCATCAAGCAAGGACTACAGCAGCAGACTCCAGTGATACAGGGCTCATTTCTAGTTAAGGTGGCCCAGAAGCTCACAAAAAGATTTTTTGAACAGTACAACCTTGTGATAATCATAGTTTCAAATACAATTTGTAGGAATGTTCAGAAAGACGAATGTTTAACCAGACATTTCCGACATCTCCCTTCATCTACTACTATGATGACAAATACGAAATCCAGGAGAGAGATCGGAGAATAAAACGAAAAGTAAAAGGTATGTTATTAAACTTTGTATTCGATGACTTTTGCAGTAGTTTCTAAATTTGGTTTTGGGGGGGGGGGGTTGGTTTTTTTGTTTTGTTTTGTTCTTGCATTATATTTGCCTGCTTTAAGGTTATTGGTTGGTATAAAAATTGTTTATAATTATCATAGAAACTAGAGCTTTCTTGATCTGCAAAAACCAAGCCCCTACTTCAAAAATGCTATGTTGTAATCTGTTCACAATAAATATTTTTCTCAGAGTAAGCATTTCAGAAAATGTTTAAGAATGTATTGCTATTCACTTTGTATGCAGAGTGTTAAAGATTCCTTTGATATTTTTCTGTTTGATAAGCAATTAGTTTTTCCATTTGCATCTCTCTGATATTTTTCATGGAAAGGAAGGCTTTTCTGGAGATGGTGCCTGGGGCTTCCCCTAGTACATCAGTTCTTCAAGGCCACCATTGCAAGTAGAGCTCCAGGTCCACAGCCACCCCTGTGTTTTCTGTGTTTACAGTTGCTAACATAAAGTTCTTTCTCACCAAATTAATACCTTGTTTTTTAAGTCTGTTTTCTCTGCCTCTGTTCTTTTTTTGGTATATACTTCAAGATGGTTTTCCAAGTTAACTTTCGTGTTTTAGGGTAAAATTGTCATATTTTTCAAGTTGTTCTGTATCCTGTTTTCTGACTCTTTTGCCCTTTTTTACATTATTCATTTTTAGACTTTCTGAGTTCAGGTTCTTTTCAAAATGAAGGTATTAATTCTGGGGAAAATAAAAGAATTCCTTCTCATAGCTCCTGCATGGCTTATATTATATCTCATATAAAGTTTATCTAAACTGCAGGAAAATTATAATACATAATGATAGTTACTAGGTAACTAAATTAGAAACATTTAAAAGAAATCTTTCTGAAAGATGATGTCCTGAAAACATCATCTCTAAGTTAAAGGATTATGAGTGGTTTCTGCCTTATTTTCTTTCTACTTTTTTCCAAGTTTTCTATAGTGAGCATTTCTAACTTTTATAATCTGGGAAAAGCATTAACTGTTATTTTTCTTTTTTAGCTAGTTTTGATAACTCTAACACACAAATCCGCTTTAAGGCACTCTATGATCCATTGGAACTTTTATTTCATGCTAAAAGTCATATGCTAGAATTTTTTATTGGTCACTCCTGTTAATCTTTCAAGGTACTGTGGACATTTTAATTTTCACCCCTCACTGTAACCTCATCTCCCACCTACTTCCGTCAGAATTACTAACATCAGGTGTTTATAGTATATCATGTTCTGACAAAATACAGGTACTAAAACCTGTAAGATACATGCATACAAACACACACAAATACACACTTCCCAAGCCAGCAGTCTCTTCTTTGGAGGAATAATCTCCTGGGCAGTACAGTATCTCCTGGGCAGCTCTCAGTACTGTGGCCAGAGTTTATCTTCAGAGAGTAATAAGTATCTTATGAGACTGTCAAAAGACCATCTTGTATATCTTGCTTCACCTTATCTTTAGGGGCTGATTCTTTATCACTGAAGGAACTTGAATTGGTCAGACATGACTTTTCACAAAACTAAGACCATCTTTGTCTCCATTGTTTAACATCATTAAACTATATTGGATAGAATACTTCTCATTGGATTTTTGGATGTTTTCCCTTTTTAGCAATCAGGAGTACAGAACTACAACCATTCCATTTTTAGTGAATGATTTCTTTACCTTAGCAAGGAATTAGAACATCTATATTGTTAACTTGTTTAAATGTTTAGCTTCACAGCCTGCTAGGTTATTTCCACATCTGTGAAAGCTCTACATGGACTGGATTATACATATGCAAAAATACGATTATATTTTCCAGAACTCAAGAAGAATGGAGATTTTCCAAGGCAGTTCAAGAGACTGCATACGGAAGCAGCGGGCAAAAGACCCCACCCTGATATGAGAAAGAGCCATGCCTCAAGGAAAAGCAACAGGTGGCCCCGAGAAGATAAAGAAACCCAGAAAGAAATGAATAGGAACAGAGAACGTGAGAAGCACAGGAAGGCTGATAGGCATCATGAAGTGGATGAGGACTTTCCTCGGGGCCCAAAAACCTACTCTTCTAGCAGTCTTAAAACCCAGAAGCCTCACAAGTCCTTTCACCATTCATCACATTACCACAAGCCAAGGGAAGACAAGCATTCCAAAGAGGGAATGCGGGGCAAGCAGAGGAAAAAGGAGAGGTGCGTGGAAGATGATAACAATGATAATTTATTTCTTATTAAGCAGAGGAAAAAGAAATCTAAGCTGTGAAATAGTTTCTCATCTGGCTTTCCATTATTCATTTGGTCTTAATGTCTACAACATTCTGGCAACATTTTTATTTTTTATGATTAAATAAAGGGAAGTTTTGGTTATGATTATTTAATTTCAGCCATACCTAGAGTTGCTGAACAAAAACCATGGAGATCTTAGTTCTCCATGTCCAGCAGGTTATTAGGAAGATGTTTTTATTCTCAGTCCTTGAGACAGGAAAAGTCAGTCTTTTCAAGAAAACTTTTTATAAAGACTTTGGAAAATAAAAGCTAATCACATGTAATTCATTTGCAACATGAGTATGAAGATTAAATCCTTGTAGGATTACTAATAAGAAATATGCATCACTCTTTTTCAGCGTTTTTGTTTTTTTAACATTGTAAAGGACAGTGTATGTAAATATAAATCCAACTTTTCTTGCTCCTGAGCTGTTGTCTGAATCTTCCTTTGGACAGAAAGAACATTACAGGCTGACTATAAAAACAAAGGTGTGTCATCTTTGAAACCCTGAGGTGGCAGGGAATTGGGCTATAACAAAATATAGGAAAGAAATCTGTCCAGAATGAATGTATAAGACAGATTTCCTGAACCAAGTAAAAAAGAGTCATCAAAATTTTAACAATCACAGTAAAACAGTTTTTACCTTTTGTACAACCACATTTCAAGAAGATTGTCAGATATAGAAATAAATATTACCCAACTTTAAAATTTTTTTTGTTTTTTTAACTATCACAAAGCCATCCAGAATTTTTTGTACTCGTGAATCTTTTGTATTTATCAAAGCCTATTGCTACAATAAGAAAAATAAAAGGTCTGAAATAGAGTGAATAAATGCATCTTACATAAAAAGATAATGAGAATTTGGGTGACAGAGGGCATAGTTGAGTTTGCCATTGACTACAATTATAAAATCACCCTTAACTGGAGTCAGATGCATCCTTACTACCCAAGAACAAGCTGCCTGCCAGAATAAAATGGTAAGGGATCAGTTAGGACACTTTATAACGTTGGATTCCTACATTTGTGTTTTACTCTTTGGAAAGTATGCGAACTACTGTTTATCTCATAGGATTAGTTATTACCTTGTGCAGAATTCTCCACCCCCAGATGAGCCTTAGTGTGTGTCCTTGGTCCACAGTCTTTAGTCCTCCCTGTGGCTGCATGACTTTCAGCTGAATTTCTTGCATGTTGGAGCATGGCTGCCTAACACTACTGAAGGTGTTTTGACCTAAGGTAAGCAGCTAGTCTCTTAGCACCCTACTGAGAGTGATAGCCATGAAAAACAGCTTTACATTGATATTATTCATTAGGGAACCTGGGACAAGCATGGCTTGTTATGGATATGCTGGAACCAGCACCTCTTTTGATGTCCATTCAGGATAGAGATAAGACTGCTGTTATTTATGTTCTTTTGTACATAGAAGTTTTTTAGAGATAGGAAGAAAGGAAGCAGTTTTTTTGTACTTGTCTTTGCCCCTTCTCTTATTTTTCCTAAAAGCTTTTCTTGTTTGTTAGACACACTTTGTTCTAGGGTATAGTTTTCCTGTCAGGTCCATACATTAATATTCAGATTGGAAGGGAGACTGAGCTCCTTCACCTGTGGGCATTAGGATATGCCTCTGATTCCTCATCATTTCCTTTACCCCCTGGCTCCTGCAGCCCAGTAAGTCAGTCAGTTGCTTACTTTATTCACACGTAAATTTTGCATGCAAGAATTAAAAGTTTAGAATACTTACAGATTCAGGAGTTAATTAAAACTTTGTATGGATAAATACAAGAGAAGAAAAAGCAGATATCCAAAACATGAAGGCTCTGTATAATTGCTAGGATTGAGAAGATCTTTTACTTCTCACCCCTCTTGAAATAGAAGAGCCCCAGTAGCTCCTGGGTTCCACCGTTCATGCTAAGGATTCTCAGAACAGTCAAAAAGACAAAAGTCTTATTTTCGTTGTCCTCTCTGTTAGCCATGCTTACAGGTTTTTTTCTTTTCTGTAGAAGGAGGACATTGTTCATTTTAAGGGAAAAAAAGTTAGAAAGGAAACAAATACACATGATTTTTCCACCCAAAGATAAGGTTAAAATTCGTAGTGTCCAGCCTTCCAGACTTTTTTCTAAGCATGTGTGTGTGACTGTGCCATCATTTAATTGTCTCCCTACGGTTGAACATTCTGGTTGTTTTGTTATTTACTTTAAATCCATATCTTCTCCATTTATTCACTTTTGATAAAATGAACTTAAGGCTTAAAGATTATGCATATATTTCATGAAAGTTTCAGTACGTATTGCCAAATTACATTCCCAGAAAGTCAGCTACCCCCAGTCATTTCTACCCCACTCCCACAACAACATTCAATAGTCATTCCTTTTTCATTTTGCCCTTTGAGTGGGCAAAAGAACAGTATTTGTTAGTGCTGAATGAAGAGACTGATGTGAACTCTGTTCAGAGAAACAGGGTTAGCAACATAGGAATAATCTCTTTATAAAAGGGGGAGACGTTTCTCATAAGAAACAACTGAGAGTTCTGCCAACAAAAGATCACATGCAGAATAAGAGGACCTTTTATTCTCGGTTCCCTGGTCTCATAATTTGTTTTCACAACTTAACTGGCCGTTTTGGCATTTAGTGAGTAGAGGTCAGAGATATTGCTAAACATCCTACACTATGCAAAACAGCCTTTCACAACAAAAACCCAGCCCAAGATGTTAGTCTTGGTAAGCATGAGAAACCCTCACTGAAACCCCGACCCATTCCTTCAAAGGAATTCTTTTCATAGGAGGGAAGTTGCAGTTGCCTTCCACATCTGACAGGATGTAGTCTTGTCTTACCAAGCTTAGAATTTCATCTTGCTGGTATTTGAGACATTGGTTGGCTATGTCCCTTTCACCTGAAGTAAGGAACACTAGTCCTGTGGCATGAAGATCTACCAACCATTTGGACCAACTGGAGGACCAGTTGAGATTTAGCCACCTGAAAGAGGTTCATAAGGAAGCATGGATACAAATGCTTGCAGGGGAAAAAATTTTAAAGAGACAAACATTAAGCTGGGGTGTAAGTACTGTGAAGTAGAATTGTGGGATGGAAACAAAGAAAGCCAGCTGGTGGAAGAAGGAAAGATTTGGGGGACATTTGATTAGATAAGTAAGTCATTAGGTTGTAGGAGTCATCACCAGGACCCAAGTCCTTCCCCAGCATATAGGTTTTACAGTTGCCTTTACCATTTCAAAGAAAAAGCAATAGTTGAAAGACAGTCTGTTATTCATGCCTTCAAAGGGTCACATGGTAAAGCTGGCTGTAACTTGGGCTGCTCTCTCTAGCAATGAACTTCATACATACCCATCCTAACAATTGAGAAATAAGTGGCTTTTTCAAAGGGATTTAGTAGAAAGTGTTTCCAAGAAAATCCAGTAAAAAAGTGAGGAAGTAAGACATGGAAGAAAAGAAAAGGAAGTCTCTCCTTGCAATGAGAACACAGAGCTGGAGTTTGGCAGAGTCAAAGTGGATACAGATCAGAACACCTGCAGGGAGAGATGCATGGAGGCCAGCATAGGGTCGCCTCCAGACTTCAGCTGAGTAGTGTTCAGCGTTTCTGTAGGAGGAAACCACCTGAAAGCACTAGAGGAAATTCTGGAGTTCACACCAAGCCAAAAATAGCTTCTGTTCTCATAGGGTGGAAAACCTAGTAGGTCATGGGCACTGACCAGAGAATTCAGGAGAGTTTGGCCTTGGTAATTAGGAAAAATTAGCCCAGGTCTAAACTTTTCTGGTTCTACCTCACATTTGAAAATAAGACCTGAGCTTGCATGATGATACACACATGTAATCCTAGCACTTGGGAGTCTGAGCCAGGAGAATGGAATTGTAGGCCAGCCTGAGATACATAGCAAGCCCCTGTCTCAAAAAAAAAAAAAAAAAAAAATTATCCAGCACCTGATAAGGTAAAATTCACAGGGAATGCTACTGAAAATACTAATGTGACAGCAGATCAGTGGATGTTGGGGGTGGGGATGGTCAGTAGGGGCAGGAGATAGAAATTATAAAAGCATAAGGAACTTAGATGATGAATAGTAATGTTTTTCGCTGAATTGGGGGTATTCTGAAAAATCTGGGTGAGGTCGTTAGTATACAAGGCATCTTCAGTTTTGTTGCCCATTTTGCCATGTTGAGCCAAGGAGACTGGAGGGCTAGAAGTGTGACTTAAATGGTAGAATGCTACCTAGTGAATACAAGGCCCTGAGTTCAAACCCTAGTACCACCACAAAGAAAAATGTACTAACAGGAATCACAAGGAAACTAGATCACAAAACAGGTACCCAACTGTAGTGGCCTGGGAAGGATGCTCACTGACACCCCAGGCATAGGCAGTGGGATTTTTTTTTTTTTTTTTTTTGGGTGGTGGTGGTGGTGGTGGTAGTGGTTGTGCTGTTGCTGGGGTTTGAATTCAGGGCCTCACACTTGCTAGGGTAGATGCTCTACTACTTGAGCTACTCTGCCAACCCTTTTTTGTGTTTGGTATTTTTGAGATAAGGTCTTGCTTTTTGTGAGTTCTGCCTGCAGTCCTTATCTCTGTCCACTGAGTAGCTAGGATTACAGGCTGAGACCTTTTGATAGGCCTCTGATTTTAGCTGGCATGTCATTCAGTTCAATCCTCTAAGTCCCAGGCAAGGAGAAGAAGTTGGGTAAGAAAGCGAGAGCCCGGGTTGGAGGAGTGACTCAAGTGGTAGAGTGCCTGCCTCAGAAGCACAAAGTCCTGATTTCAAACCCCAGTACCATCAAAAAAAAAGAGGGGGGGAGGAGGAAAAGGAATAGGGGACAGAGAACTTCTTGGGGAATTAATGTCACGAGAAAGCAATAGCCTGCAGTCTTGCACAGAGGCAGTTGAGAACCCACAAAGAACTTAAGAGTTCATTCCACAACCTGGGCACCAATCAGAAAGCAAGTCCACGTTGGACCTCAGTGGAACCTAGGACCACTCAGTCAACTCGGTCAGCTTCTCCCCAGCATCTAACTGAGCCAGGTCCTATCCTTGAGTGGCTCGCAAATTCCATTTAGTTCTGCAAATATGGAAAGGATACTTGTTATGTGCCAGGCACTGCCCTGAACTCGAGGTACAGTGAATACTAGACCGATATCCATGCTTTTTTGGGGCTTGTAGCTCATGGAGAAGACAGACACTGTACAAGTTAGTCGAGTGCTTCGAAGAACACAGTTCTTGCTATAGAGAAGGAGTTCAAATATCTGTTGATAGAATGAAGAGGTTTAAAGTCCATGAGGTCTTTATCCTTCATAGAAAAGGATAAAGAAAGGAGCCGACACAGGTTAGACTCCAACTCCAGCATGCTATTACCAAAATGGGGATGGCTGAAACTAACTAGACAACTTAGCCACCTAGACTGGAAAGTTGTACTTCCAAATGAAAAGGTTTGCTATAGTTCCTTTGAAAAGTAGGCGTCAAAGCTGGAGAGAGAGAATGAAAATGGGACTCATCTTGTCAGTGTCAGATGAAAGACCAAGGAAAACAATCCACCAATTTAATGCCAGAATAAAAACCCTGACTTCAGAAAACTCGCATATATATGCTCTTTAGAGAAGCTTCTTGGTGGTAGAGCACTTCCCTAGCATGCATGAATTCCTGGGTGCAATCTCAAGCACTGAAAAAAAAAAAAGTTTAAGAGGGATAATTGTTTTTCTAATCA